ACTCAGCAATGAATCCCTGGCTTGGGGCAGTTCATGTACCAACAGAATGGAGTCAATAAATGATAATAAACACCTCCTCTCAGCTTTTACCACTTTGCAAAACTCTCTGACATCTCTTCACAGTAACATTTGAGATAAATCACAGAGAAGACAGAGTGGGGGGGTCCCAGCAAAAGGAACGCCACCAGATTCCCATGTAACTCTCGCAGGGTCTGGAGGGTCCAATAAGTCATGGGTTTCACACCGGCCAGACCCCTCCCTTCCCTGGCTCTGGGGAGATATGGCTAGTCAACCCCAGCACTCTCTCGCCCGGTACTAGGTGCAGCGTCAGGCACCTTCTCAAGCATGAGCCATCAACCAGGACACTGCTGAATGTCCTGGGGCCACCACAGGAAGGTAGGAAGGGGAGAGGCAAACAGGCTACAATCTGCCCCCGACTGGCCCCCAACTTGACTCTGAACAGTGCCTCCAGAAGCTGTAAGAGTTCGCATGACAAAGGGCTCTGAGACTGAAAGCTAAAGTGTGACAACCTCTGGGCTAGGTGTTCTCTAGTAGGTGGACAGGTTTGTATTTTTATTTCCAACCAACCACAGGCCGGACCAGGACCTCTGTTGAGCAATAGATGATGGCCATTAGGTTTCATCTTCCAGGTCAACAGCTAGGAGCACAGTGATTGACTAGTTATTTCTGCCATGAGTGAGGTGAGGGGTGAGAAGCAGCAGGTGCAAAGCTGACATATTTGCTATCTAGGTAGAAGACACTTCATAAAAGTGTCCCGAGTGCATGAAGGTGACAGAGGGCTCTACCTGTGGTCCACTGGAATACATGTGGCTTACAGCAGGTTAACTGAGAGTGCCCCCGAGTTTCCCACTTGGCTGGGACTAACTTGGCTGGGTGACAGAATGGAATACATCACAGCCCGTCACTAACGGTGGTTCACAATGGAGTGTAGAGGACCCTACAGGAGGAAGTCACAGGTAAAGGATGGCAGTGCCTTCTGCTCTGATCTCATCTCATCCAGATCAACCCTCACACTCCCCTCACACTGAAAACTCAGGGCACCCTCTACCTCTGCCTTTGTCACAGGCACATCTGCGAGCGGCTCCTCTGCCCTGTGGCCTCCCATGAGGGAGAAGAGAGGTGGTTCTCGGGCCAGCAGTGCCGGCATCCTGGGGGTGCCTCCAGAATGCAGGTTCTCAGGCCCCCACCCAGGCCTGCTGGATCAGAAGCTCTGGAGGTGGGGCCCAGCCATTTGCATTTTATACATCTCCCGAGTGTGCTGAGGACACCTGAGAATCACCTGGAGAGACTTGAAGGCCTCTGCAGCCCAGGAACTTGGCATTTCAGAGTGGCTGGCATGTGTCTGAGCACCCCAGGCCATTCCGGCACACACAAGGGGGGAGGAGGGCTTGGGAACCTGCTGCAGGCACTGTCCCAGGAGGAATCCCAGCTCCCTCTTAGCTGTGTGGCCAGTCCTGGCCCTGAGCCACTGTGGGCCTCGGTCCACTCTGTGAAATGGAGAGAATGGACCACTTCTCAGAACTCAAACTCAGTGCCACTCCTATTTAACAAGAAAGCCTGTGTTGCCCTCCTGGCAGCAGCTGCCCCAGGTGCTCTGAGGACACACCAAACTGTTTCTCTCTGACTCAGCTCAGTAACTGGAGCCCAGCCAGCCATAGCTCCCTTGTTGCCTGGTGGTCTCTTTTTTTGGCTGTGACAGTGACCACAGTCTACCCGAAGCCAGCCACTTCACAGCCCCACAGGGCAGCTATAGCCACTTTCACGCTCCAGTGGAGGGTGGGCCTTGGGACTTTGGGGGCACTGACCCAGCTGTCCATCTGCTGACTTAGCTCTTGAGGATGCAGCCTCTGTTGCCTCCCCCGTTTTTTCAAATCTAAGCCCACTGAGAAAATGCAGGACACGCAGCTCCACCCACAGCCTGGAACAAGGCTCATGTTCAACCCCATCATGGAAACCAAGGACATTGTCACTTCTGGGCTCCAAGGAGCAACCCTGGGCACCAGGAGGCCAGCACGGCTAGGTCACACCCGTGGATGTGCAGACATACCCACTTTCCTGCAAGGCCAGGGGCTGGAAGCAGTTCCAGATGCCGCCTGAGGTTTGCCCTCCTCTCAGACATGTTTTAAAGCCAGACTCTGTGACTTTGCTCCCATGACCTGGGACACCCACCTAGGAGGAGATGGAGGGGACAAAGGGCTACACCCCTCACCCCAGCACTGCACAGGTTCAGGCTGTTCATCACCCCTCTCACAGCGCCCGTCTCTATGTGCGTCTGAACGTGTATGTGCCTGTCTGAGTTGTGTGTGTGTGAGTGGTGTGAATGTGTTATGAATGTGTGCATGACTGAGTTTCATGCGGGGGGGGGGGTATATGTCTAAATATGTGTGTGTACAGAGTGGGGCACTTCACTCAGCCAGCCTGGTTCTCACCAAGGGGCAGGGCTCCAAAGCCCCGAATGCAGCAGGTACGTGCCTTCCTAGGTGCTGGTCACACCCTTGACCAGACTTAATCCCCACCCCCGTAAGTAATGCACTAGCAGAGGCCTCCCCAGGAGATGTGGGAGCACCAAGGCTGGCCTGCCAATGCCCCACGGGTCCTGAGCTGCCCCAACTTCTTTGTGCCCCTCTTGTCCTTCTGGCCCAGTGCCCTGGTCTTCTCCTTGGTCCATGCTGCTCATCAATCAGCCCTCATGAAACCCCACATTGTCCCCTTGCCCGGAGGAGACAGGAGGCTCCAGGTCCAGGATGAAGCTGTCCTCACTTGTTCCCAGGCCTTCACGGCAGGCAGGCGCCACTGGGCCCATTTCACAGATGAGGAAACCAAGGCTCAGAAATGCTGAAACCTGCCTGGGTGGAGCTCCCTGGGTATGCTGACTCTAGCTCTGCCCGCACCACCACCTTGGCTCCCAACTTCTGTGGGATTTGTCAGGAAACTCCTCAGTCCTAAGAAGTTCCCCTGGTCATCAGGCTTTAAAAATCAAACCAGTTCCATGTCCACTGAATTCTGTGCTCCCAGACCCTTGCCTGAGAACTAACCTGTAGGCCAGAAGGGAGCTGTCACGAGCACCCCAAATCTTTGACAATGCCGTGCCCTGCCCTGTAACTGCTTCTGTCCATTGAGGTCAACAAAACAAACATAATACAAATGGTAACAAGATAAACAAACACTGAAAGGAGAGAAATAGGGCAAAATGCCAACGAGAGTCTGGTGACATAGTGGACCAGACCTAAAATCGCTTCTCTTTCTGCATTCTATTTTCCAGGTTTTCTATATGGGGCAAGTATTACATTTATAATGGAAAAAAGAACTACTGAAACCGAATCTGATCCTAAAATACCGGGTGAGTAGTCATAAACGCGAGTCCTATTTATTTCTGTTGCCTGCACATTTCTGGGGGCGGAGAGGGGGGAAGACAGAGCAATTTCCACCTCGGTGCTCAGGTAGTAATAGCGTTCTTCTTTCGGCTTCTTGGAATGGGTTCCATTTCCCTCTGAAGCCTCAGGTCCTGTGAGTGGCAGATACGCTGCCAACAAACCACAGCCACCATTTTTGTCCCTCACTGTGGATCAAAGGTCACTGGAAACCAGAACCAAATGGACTACAATTTTAATTAAGTAACAAGGTTGGGAAGGTCTGAGCAAAACTGAGCCAAGAGCCCGGCCAGGCGTGGCTCAGCAGTTGAGCATCGACCTAGGATCCAGGAGATCGAGGTTCGATTCCCGGTCAGGGCACATGCCCGGGTTGCGGGCTCCATCCCCAGTAGGGGGTGTGCAGGTGGCAGCCAATAGATGACTCTCTCTCATCATTGATGTCTCTATCTCTCCCTCCCTCCCTTTCCTCTCTCTGAAATCAATAAAGATACATAAAACAACAACAACAACAACAAAAAACTGAGCCAGGAGCTTTCCTGGAGTAACTCTAGGCCTGTCCCTGGCTAGGAAGACAGAATCATCCAGAAGCCTGTCCTAGAAGCCTCTTGTCTGGGCATCCTGAGGGACCTAAAGCAATCTCCAGACCCTTGTCCCAAGCCCCGACCGGGGCAGACCCCAAGGGCTCTACCCTGACCCAGGAAAGCAAACATATGGTGGAAGCTTCTGGTTAACTCAGTCAGAAATTGTTCCTTGGATGCCAGGAGTGTGGCAACCAGCGGCCCTTGGGTTTCAACAGGGCAACTTCCTTTAACCTGCGGCAGGCACCTGCCATGTTCCTGCTGTCCACAGCCTCCCACAGCCTCACCGGGACCAGATTTGGGCTTACACGCTTACTCTCCCAGGGAAACAGTCCCTGGGCACCCTTCTTCCAGCTCTGAAGCCCCTACCGCTGCGCCAACGCCAAAGATACCGCAAAATCCAACATGGCGTCCGCCCACCCACATCAACTCGGGACCTGCTGCTTAGGGTCCTGCAGCCTTGCTGACCCCGACCTCAATAAGTCCACATCCCATCCTGAGCAGCTGCTGGCCCATAGCACCAAGTCTCGCCTGGCGCCCACAGCTGATCTGTCCAGTTGGTGCTGTCTCCCAGGGCCCAGGACAATCTGGGCTGGAGGCCAGCTGGCCAGGGCAGCTTTCACCATCCTCCCACGTCCCAGCAATACTGGGCACTCCATGCCCGGCAGGGAAGGTGGCCACGGTGGCATTGCACCTTTCTCTTAGCCGGAACTGTCCTAAGCATCTTACCAGCAGAATGGCCCACCTTCTTTATCCATCAACATTTTACATTAAACACCAGCATATAAAATAGACAAAAAGAGATACCTCTCTGTTTGAGGAGGGGCCATAGGACCCAGAACCTCCCAGGTCACCCATTTCCTCGCCTCACCTCACCTCTGAGAACCTCTGAGGAACCCCAGGGTTCCCAGGGGCACAATTTGAGAAACGCCAGCACAGGCCGCCAAGCAGGGAGCATGACTGACCAGACCAGGCCCAGCTGGCAACTCAGGACCACCCTGCCCGCCCGACGACCCCCCCACCCTCCTACCTGGAGGCTGCAATCTCCGCCTTCTGCTTGGCAATGGTGGCAGCCCGCTCGGCCGCTTCCACAGCGCGATCCACCTTCTCGCGGATCTTGCTGGCGCGCAGCGGGATGAGGTTCTTGCGCTTGCCGCTCACGAGGATGTTCTGCTTGTACTTGCCCTCCTCCTTGGTGCCGTCGGGGAAGGTCATGCAGCCGTAGCCGTGCCGCCGGTTGCTGGCCCACTCGCCCTCGTACTTGAGCCCGTCGGAGCGCTGGCTCACGCCGAAGCCCGCACGCTTGTCGTTCTTCCACTCGCCCACGTAGGTCTCGGTGGTGGTGGCGTCGATGTCGTCCTCGATGACCGACAGCTCGGCCTCGCCCTCGCCCAGGCTGATGGTGGAGTGGATGTCGCTGGCCGTGGAGCTGACCGTGCTCATGCCAGCCTCGCTGCGGAAGGAGCTCTGCTTGCTGCGCTGGCTGGCCAGGCTGCTCTTGGACTCCGACTTGCGCAGCTTCAGGCCGCTCAGCAGCGAGCGCCGGAACAGCCCCTTCTTCTTGCTCTTGAGGATCTCGGAGTCGCTGTGGGCCACGAGCACGAAGCCCCCTCGGGACACAGCTGGTGAGCCGGCCACGGCTGGGGAGGCGTCTGGGTGCAGGGCCGCGCCATTGGTGTGCTCACTGCGCAGAGAGTTGATGGATGTCCTCAGGGGCGAGCGGATGACCGCCGCCATGCCGTAGGGGACACTCTGCCGCACACCATAGCCTTGGCGCATGCCACCGACCCACTGGCCCTGGTAGGTCCCTGCGGAGACAAAGGAGAAAGGGTGAGCTCCCAAGACAGCGATGGAAGATGGGCACCTTTCACGGTGGGCGGAGCCCCCGTGGCTCGCTCTGTCTTGGGACAACTCGGTGAGAACAGTGAGGCAGACAGTCCGTGGTGCATTTTTACAGTTTATATCACTGATGGTCGTTTTTAAAGACACTTCCATCCTGCTTCCCACAGCTGCATTTTGTTCTCTCCCTTAGAAGCTGGGGAGGGAGAAGGGAGGCCTAAGAGTCTGTGATGTACAGTCAGGCACACAGAATCAAGAGCCTTCCCTGTACGTGGGCAGAAGGCCACCCCAGAAATGACCAGGGAGGGACGCAGTGAAGAAAAAAGCAGAAGCACATCCTTGGGTGAGCGGCAGCTTTAGGGACACAGATCTGGGCTACCGACTGAGTACTAATGACACTGCTGCCAGAGGTACCCAAGAAAAGCTTGGAAGAGCACTCAGTGGGGACATCTTTAACTGCATGGGGACCTTAAGTGCTTAGAGACCTTAAGGGCTTGAAATTGGCAGGCCTGATATCCCCAAAGAATCAAAAAGCAGGGACTTGAAGAGATATTTGTTACATTCATAACAGCACTATTTATAATAGCCAACAGGTGGAAACAACCCAAGTGTCCATTGACACATGAATGAATTAACAAAAGTGGGGTCTATCCATACTATGGAATGTTACTCAGCCCTAAAAAGGAAAAAAATTCTGGCACATGCTATAACATGGATGAACCTTGAGGACATTATGCTTAATGAAATAAGCCAGTTACAAAGGGCAAAAACTATATGATTACATTTATATGAGGTATTTAGGATAAATTCATAAAGACAGAAAACAGAATGGTAATTGCCAGGGGCTGGGGAGAAAGAAATGGGGAGTTGTTTAATGGAAACAGAATTTCTGTTTGAGGTGATGGAAAAGTTTTGAAAATAAAGGTGATGGTTGCATAACATTGTGAATGTAATTAATGCCACTAAACTGTGCTCTTAAAAGTGATTAAAATGGCATGTTTTGCCCTGCCAGTGCCGCTCCCGGTTGAGCATCGACCTATGATCCAGGAGATCGTGGTTCGATTCCTAGTCAGGGCACATGCCTCGGTCAGGGCTTGATCCCCAGTAGGGAACGTGTAGGAGGCAGCTGATTAATGATTTTCATCATTTATGTTCCTCTCTCTCCCTCTCCCTCCCTCTCTTTGAAATCAATAAAAATATATATATTTTTAAAATGGCATGTTTTACATCTATCTATATTTTACCACAATAAAATATAAAGAAAAATATCAGCAAAACTGGGCTCATATTTTTGCTCTACTTATTGGTTGTGTGACTTTAGGCAAATTTCTGGAACACTCTCAATTTCCTCATCTATAATAGGAGTCTAAAATTCCTCATATCATAGGTCATTGTGAGAATTAAATGGCCCTCAGCATGGTGACATGAAGTAAACTTCAATCTACATCTGTCCTATATGTTATTAGAATTATTACCAGGCCTCAGCAAGGCACCAATAAGGGGACACTCCACCTGGTAAGGGCTTTTGGATTAGAATGGGGAGGTCTGTCCCATCACTCTTCCAACTCACTGTAGAGAGGCTACAAACCAGAGGTTCAGAGGCTAAAACCTGCCCAATATACAGGCTTTATTTGTCCCACAGAGAATTTTATAAAAAATTGGAATTGACAACACTTCAAAATCTAGAGATTTCACATAAAAGCTCAGATCTTCTGTTTCTCCTAAAAAGTACAAGATCTAGCAATACTGGGTCTTTATTTACAGACAGCAAAATGGACTGGAGTGCAGCAGTAGTTGCCTCCTTTAGATAGGCACACCCCATCCAGTTTGCCCCACTCGCCACTACTCCCTATTGTCTCCCACCTGGACCATCTCCTTTATTTATGTGTCCTGCACTGGAGGTAAAGTCCAAACTGAGTATGGAATCCAAATACATGGTCCCAAATGATCTGTCACTGATTTGTCACCACTCCACACTGCCATCACCCCAAAGTCAGAACCGGTCTTGAACCACTCATGGGCTTTTCTGTCTCTGAGACCTTGTCCACACAGCCTGCCCTTACTCACAGAGGGTATCTAATAACAGACCAAAGGCAAACACTAGCTTGTTCTGAGTGACAGAGTGGGAGGAGCAAGGGTTCCAAATCTGGGGTTCGGGCTGTCCCTCCCACTCTCCCTGAGCTCCCATGTCATGTCATCCTGGCCTTCCACGAGCTGCTCAACTGTGTCCTTGAGGGGCAGAGTGATCAGACAAACCACAGCCTCTGTGAGCCTCAGTTTTTATATCAGTGAAATGAGGGCATCCACTCCGCAACTTATCCCTGAATTCTGTGACCTCGGAGTTCCCTTGACAGATTAGCTAGCACTGGGGAGGGTCAAAATGTGTGCACAGGGCATGTACTGAGCCAAAGACACAGGTGACCAGCAAGGAGAAAGGACCTGTACACCATTTCATGTCCTGAACAGGCAAATCTACAGAGACAGAAAGCAAACTGGCAATGGCTGGGGCTGGGGGATGGGAGTGAATGCTAGCGGGGACGGGATTTCCTTTTGGGGTGATGAAAATGGTTTGGAACTAGAGAGAGGTGGTATTTGCACAACACTGTGAATGTGTTAGATGCCACTGAATTGCTCACTTTACAATTATTAGCTTTACATTATGTAGACTTCATATCAGTTTTTCAAAAAAGATAAAATGATTGGAGGCAGAGAAATGAAGCACAGTGGAAAAAAATTATGTATACATAATTTCAAATTCTTGCAACGAGACAAAGAAGAGCTGATCAAGTTCTAGGGGTTCTTGAGAGTAGAGTCAGGGACGTGGGCTTTAAAACAAACTCCTGTGGCCAACAGGGTCTTGCTGGGGCGGTCCCCCTCAGAGGGGCTGGAGCTTTGGGGGAGCGAAGCCCACAACCTGGGGGACCCCACTTCAATTCTCAGACTTCAGTTTATTCACCTGTAGAATGGAGGTAACAACTGTACCCACACGCTAGGTTCAAATTCTGCAATGTACACAAATACAGCGCAGGGTGTGACAGGGCAGCTAAGGCTACTTTGCCCAGAGTTTGCAATCTTGTTATATTTGCGTTTCTGTCCCCAGTGGGAACATATCTCTGATTTCATAGCTGACGTCAGTAAGAAAATGGGTTTAGTAATACAGAAACACAATCCAGATGAGCTCTCTTATGACTGCCCTGGGCAGCCTGGCCTCATGGCTCCACAGCAGAGGGTGGTAAAGAGCAAGAGAAAGAACGCAGGCCAGCTCAGCAAGGAGGTGGCTGCAGGAATGGTTCCACCCAAAGGGAGGCTCCCGGGGCACCTGTGCCCACCCTCATCGGGCTTCCTCTCTCATGTTATTTCTCCCCCTCTGACATTGAGGTGGGTGGGGTGGAGGTCCACATTGCCCAGAACACCAGCAGGCCCTGGACAGGGCTCTGAGTGGACTCAGGTGAGGAAACAAACCTCCCTAAACCTCACCTGTCAAATGCCAATTACAATGACCCAGACCCCGGGGAAGAGCAGATGAGACAAGACCACCAGTGGGTCTCACACTTGAACAACATCAGCATCCCTCACCAGGCATGTTAAAACCCAAGTTTCCAACCCCACAGGGTGGTGGTGCACATAGGCGTCTGCGTTCCTAATGAGCTCCTGGGTGAGGCTGTGCTCTGAAGACCCCACTCCATTTCACTCCAGCACTGGGCACAGCAGCACCTGGCTTGTGTGGGCACCAGTGTTGTTTTGTTCAGGAAACACTTGGGTCCAAATGTGAAAACCAGAGCCCTGGGCTGGAGCACAGCCTGGCCAGCTCAGCCCACGCTGCTCAGCCAGCTAAGATCCAGCCTCAACCTCAGCCCCCCACATCTTGGGTATGGTGGACAGTCCGCTCTAGCCAAGTTATCTGCAGCTCTGTAGGGCCCCACACACCTCACACACACTCTTATTTTTCTCTTCTGCAGCCCATATCCATTAGCTGAAGTTCTGAAGCCTTCACCACAGGCCCAGAGGACCAGCCTTGTGGAAAATGCAGTCTCACTATATGCTGGCCTCCAGAGTTGCCTGGAGATGACCAGCAATATGAAATGGCCTCTGGACCCCTTGCAGCACCAGGCCCTAGACACCCGTTAGACTTGGCCGCGAGAACCCCATGTCGAAGGATATCTCCCTACGGGTAACAAATGGCATTTACAAAGCTCCAGGCCCCTATTTTCACAGATGGACCGAACACCCCTTGCCCCGCCTTCCTGTCTCATCTGTCCCAAGCCCCAGACGGTGGACAGAGGGGCCGTTTGACCAGCGTGAGGATGCACCGAGCAACACTTCATTATTTCTTTTGCTCAGTAGCCCAACCAGGAAGAAGTTTTCCCAGAGTCTGTGGACACAAATGTCAGTGTGCACTTGGTCCAGAGTTAGAAAGACCAGCACAGCAGCTTCACAGCTCAAGGGCCAACTCCAGAATCTCCAAGCTGGCAGGGCCCTGAAATGACCGGTGAGGAAGTTACCGCTTCCCAAATGTCCCTGAAGATAAGATGAAAGTCACCTGTTGTATTTGTATTTTTTTTAAAAGAGAGAGAGGAAGAAAAATACCAGTTCCCAGGCCCAACTCTGACCTCCTGAGTCAGGATGGCTATAAATGACCGGGTGACCTATAACTGTCACAGCCCCAGGTAATGTTTCTCATCAGGGCATTCCTGGGTGTTGGAGAAGGAAGATTAGGAGATGAGGCAACTAGTTCAAGGTCACCCAGCTCATGGGCAGCAGAGCCAGCGTAGCAGCATCATGGCACAGGTGGGTGTACAATGTTCTGGAAACTTCCTTAGTTTACACTAAATACTGGACCTGTCTCCACCTTTTCTACATCAATAATGTTTGCAACTAATCCAACACATGAACATTCCACAGTCATACAAATTACAAGCCAACCCCATCCTTCGGGTACTTAGGTAGTGCTCATTTTTGATAGCTAATC